TTTTTTTTTTTTGAAAGTCAAGTATGATGTAACCAGTAAAAGAAACTACAGTGTATAGGCCTGTAGTGTAGTAGTAAGGTATGTGGGGATTTAATATGCTCTGAATGCCCTGATTATTCTGTCTTTTAGTGCTTCTGTGCTCCTGGGTTGTGAAGCACAATTGTCCACCCTCCTAATTATCTCTCCCCCTCCATGTAAGTGAGATATGATGGCAAGAGAGCTGTGGGTTGGAAAGTTCAGGCTGGAATTGGGTACCCAGATATGTCCCCCTTTTCATCTCCTTTCGTCTCTGATAAAGCAGTTTCTTTTGAGTGGAAGCCTTGTTCAGTCCGGTCCACTCTTTTGTATTTTGAAATGGCTGAATATATTTAAAGGTGGTTGCACCCTCCTAAGCATATGGGATTTTTCTCAGATGTTCATTGGGAAAACCTGGTGTCCTGGAGATAGAAATCATGAAGAATTTTTGGATTCTCCATGGCATTGCTCTCCCTGTGCCCCGGCTATTTATTTGTTGGCTTGCTTTATTGTTGTTTTGTTTATATCTTTGAGACAGGGTCTCTCTATATAACCTTGGCTGTTCTAGAATTTATTAGGCTGACCTCAAACTCACAGAGATATGCCTGCCTCTGCCTCTGCCTCTGCCTCTCTTCCCCTCTTCCCCTCTGCCCCTCTTCCCCTCTTCCCCTCTGCCCCTCTGCCCCTCTGCCCCTCTGCCTCTGCCTTCTGAGTGCTGGGGCTAAAGGTGTGTTCCAGCATGCCTGGTTGGAATGACAGTTTTCAAGCTCTGAGCATTCTGTATTGTAAATTGACACAGTAAGTTAGTGTCCATAAATTTTCTGCTAGGAGTTTTGGATTGCTTTTCATCTGTAGGTCAGTCTGGGAACATCACATTTCATTAAGGCCCTTTTTGCTTTGCTTTATTTTAGTTTTCAGCATATAGAAGATGCTGAATGTAGTTTCTTATACATTTATCACTTTGCTATGGTAGCATTATAATAGTGATGTTTTTCCTATCGTTACATAAGCGAGACTACAAATTTTCAGTTTATACTGGTTTGTTTTTAACATATTAGCACGTTGATTTTGTTTTATTTTGAGATAGGATCTTCTGTAACTCAGGCTGGCCCCAAACTCCCCATGTAGCTGAATCTTTCCTTGAACTCCTGATCCTCGCTCCAGTCTTCATTTCCCAAGTGCTGGGATTACAGATGTACTCCACACAGCTTTCACACGGATTTTTATTACTGGCCTTGGATAGTACCAGCTTGGTGAAACAATCTACTGTTTATTTGTTATCCTTTTGTATATTCTTTCAGATTTTCTCTTTATTTCCAAACATCCCCCTCCCCAGTGTTAGGGATGAAACTCACGATGAGACATGCTAGGCAACGCTGTCCCACTGAGCTACATTCTTGGCCCTTACAGTTTTCATTTTCTTTTGAGGCAGGGAGTCTTGTAGAGATGACCCACAGCACCTTACTTTCCTTTGGATAGTCTACTTAGACACTCGTGTCCGTGGCTTCAGTGTTGATCAGGCTTCGGAATATTTTTCCTTTCTCTCTCCTTTTTTTTTTAAATTTTATTTGTTTATTTTTTTTATCTTTGAACATTACTGCATGAACAGGAACCATCCCTGCTCTACACTGGCGGTAAAGATCTTTTTTGCTTTATTATAATCTTTTTGTTTTGTTTTGGTTTGGTTTTGGTTTTTTTGTTGTTGTTTTTGTTTTTCGAGACAGGGTTTCTCTGTGTAGCCCTGGCTGTCCTGGAACTCACTCTGTAGACCAGGCTGGCCTCGAGCTCAGAAATCCACCTGCCTCTGCCTCCCAAGTGCTGGGATTAAAGGCGTGCGCCACCACTGCCCTGCAGTTTTATTATAATCTTAAGAGACAAATTTTGGACTTTAAGCATTTCTGTGATTTGTATGTGCATATGGTTTGTTGTAGCAGCATTTCCTTCTATTCCTGCTTAGCTGGGAGGATATATATATATATATTATTTATTTATTTTTGCTTTTTCGAGACAGGGTTTCTCTGTGTAGCCCTGGCTGTTCTGGAACTCACTCTGTAGACCAGGCTGGCCTCGAACTCAGAAATCACCTGCCTCTGCCTCCCAAGTGCTGGGATTAAAGGTGTGCGCCACCACCGCCCGACTTACATAAAATTTATTTATTATAAAATTTATTTTTATTTTATATATTTTGGTGTTTTGCCTGCATGTATTTCTGTGTGAGGGGATCCCATAGAACTGGAGTTACAGATAGTTATGAACTACCATGTGGTTTCTGGGAATTTTATTTTGTTTTGTTTTTGTTTTTCGAGACAGGGTTTCTCTGTGTAGGTTTCGGGGAATTGAACCTGGGTCCTCTAGAAGAGCAGACAGTGCTATTAACCACTGAGCTATTTCTCAGCCTTTAGTTGAGAATTTTTTAAAAAGATGTATTTAGTTATGTTTCTATGAGTTTATATACACCACATGCACGTAGGAGCCTATGGAGAGCAGAGGATGTCAGATCTCCTGTTACTGGAATTACTAATACTTGGGAGATTGAAGCAGGAGGATCAGGAAGGAGTTCAAGGCTAGATTCAGCTAGCTTGTGAGTTTGGCACCGGCCTAGGTTAAATAAGATTCTGTCTCAAATCAAAATCAAGGAGCTAATGTACTAGCAACAAACTACTAGAAATTGAATTTTGAATTTTTTTTTATAAATTGAAATTTTATAAAGTTTCATTTATATAACCAAAGAAAAAGCGTCGCTACTATAGTGCCTCAATAGCAAGATGATAAATGTGTAGCAAAGGACCTTCAGCATCAGTTATAGCTGCTGGACATCTCTGCTGGAAGCTGAAACCCAGTCCTCTGCAAGAACAGGAACACAGAGCCATCCGTCCAGCTCCTCCACTGACAGTTTTTATCATGAAAGAACATTGATGGGGAGGCTAGGGAAATGGCTCTGTTGGAAAGTGCTTGCTGTATGAGCAGGAGCACCTGAGAACATAAACACTGGGCATGGTGGCAAGCAATTATGACTCCAGTTGAGTGAGGGTGTCAGAGACAAATGAATTACTGTAGCTTGCTGGCCAGCCAGCCTAGCCAAATAATGGACTCTAAGTTCTTTGAGACCTTGTCTCAAAAACTAACATTAAGAGTGATTGAAATGACACAGCATCAACTTCTGGCCTCCACACGCACACATGCACATATATATGAACACACATACACACAAAATGATGCATACACATAAATAATTAATAAATAAATATTGGATTTTTTAAAATGCATCTGTTGATATGATTGTGTTTCTTCTGTCAACTGTTGGTATGGAAAATTTATTTTGCAGTTATAGTCCAAGCAAGAAAGTTCCAAAGCACTATGCATATAAGGCCAAATTAGAGTCCTTTATTAGCTTGCAACAGAGCTCAGACTCTTGCTCCAAAGAGCACTGAAGCTCAAAGGTACTGCATTTGTAAAGGCAATAACTGCAATGACATCATGGGCACACATGGGTCAGGGGAACCTGGTAACGTTTCTTTTGGTTATACATTCAGCTGATATGTTGATTATTCATCTGGGCCATGATCAGGGACGTGGAAAGTTCCGAATATGCTGCCAAGGTGGACAGAACTTTTTAGGAGATTAGGGGCTGAAAAAAATACCTGAACAAAGTGGAGTCAGGGTAAGACAGGGACAAGATGGCATTACCACAGTTACTTCAGCAATGGTGAAGTTAAAACTGGAGCGTGCTATGCAAGCACTCTCCCACTGACCGATGTTCCCAGCCCAGGTTTTTAAAATTAATTGATTAACTAATTAAAATTTAAGATAAAGTCTCACTTGTAGTCCAGGTTACCCTTGAAGTCCCAATCCTCCTGCCTCAGCTTCCCAGGGGCTAGGATTACAGGCATGTTCCACCATGCCTAGCTCATATGGATTGATTTTTAAAAAGTTTAGCCTCCCCTGTGGTCTGGCAATAAACTACATTTGCCCGTAGTATGTTCTCTTCTTACAAGCCCTATGATCTGACTATCTCTACCTCCCAGCACTGAATTAACAGATGCTGTCACACTTCCTTAAACAAATGGTTACTGAGGATCCAAATGAAACCCTCACACGTACACAGAAAACATTTTACCCACTAAGATATCCCCAAGCTCTAATTCCTTCCATGTGGTATTTCATTTAATTTAATATTTTGTTATAGGTTTTGTACCCAAGCGATACTGATTTGTTTGTTTGTTTGTTTGTTTTTGGCTTTTTCGAGACAGGGTTTCTCTGTGTAGCCCTGGTTGTCCTGGAACTCACTCTGTAGACCAGGCTAGCCTTGAACTCTCGAACTCAGAAATCCGCCTGCCTCTGCCCCCCAAGTGCTGGGATTAAAGGCGTGCGCCACCACTGCCCAGCGTGATTTGTATTTTTGATTTTCTTTTACTTGTTTGTTTTCTCTTTAGTTTTGGTTATCAGGGTAATCTGGACCAATAATTGGGAAGTGGCTTCTGCTTTACATTTGCTTTAGGAAAGCTGCCGGGTTTTGTTGTTTGTTTCTGTTTTAAAGACTCTGTAGGGCAAGCTACATGGCATGCACCGTGTTGAATAGTCCCTAAACTTGCAGCGCTCCTCCTGACTCAGCCTCCCTCTTGCTCAGATTACAAATAAGAGCCTGAAGATCTGGTGTTGAAAGGATGCTAAACCTGATGATGTGTCTTGCGTGATGGAGGCCTTTATGTCATGGATTTGGTTTCTACAGGAGATAAATGTACTTCTGCTGATATCTGACTTATAACCCAACTATGATAATTTCTGTTTTCCAAGGAATCACTTTCTTTTGTCTTAATTTAGCAAACACTAGCATAACCATTGCCTGCAGGGTGGACTTAATGTGGGGTGCTCTGGGGGCTGTTCTTCAACTGCTGATATTCATAAAGTATTTTCTCTTTTTCTTATGACAGTGGTCATTTTGCACTCCTGGTCTCCTACCAAGACAGGAGCAAGGGCAATTCCCAGTTTCTGGCCTAGGATAAAACTCAGAGCGGTTGCTTTCAAGGGTCATGCCCTAGACGGCTTGAGCAGTTTCTAGCTCCTGTTCTCACCTGTCCCAGGCATCCAGTGTGAGCTGTGTTTTAAATCATTTTCTATCACTAAGGTTTCTGTTCCTTATACAAATCCTACCCTCCTATTTCCTTGTATATCTGGCTGTTATTGTTGAAACTTGAAAATTTTAGGTAATATATTGCACTGCTTTCTTTTATTGGAGGGTGTTTCTGAGACAAGGTCTTACTCTGCAGTATAGGCCAACCTGGAAATCACTAGTACCCTAGGCCTGCCTCAAACTCACAGCAATCTTCTTTCTTAGCTTCCAGAATGCAGGGCTATAGGCTTGATGAACTAACTACAGCCTGCTCGTCATAGTGATTTCGAGTAGTGTGCCTTCCTATTTTTTAGGGTAAATTGGTATGGCCTATTTTTTTATTTAGATTTAACAGGACTTCAACTAATATGCTTATTACTTACACTACATCCTCAATGCCACTCTTAGCGGGGAACAGCATTGAACTTAATCTCTGGCTCTTGTTATCATACCTAACCATTACTTTGTATTAATTACATGCTAATCTATTGTTTTTGTCCCAGGCACTGGTGTGTGTGTGTGTGTGTGTGTGTGTTTGTGTGCACACGTGTGTCATGTGATCAGAGGTTGACTTCAGGTGATTTCCTCTATTGCTCTCCACTTTGTTTTTAGTTTTCATTTTTTTTTCTTTGAGACAGGGTCTCCCTATGTAGCCCCGGCTGTCCTGAAACTCACTCTGTAGACTATGCTGGCCTGAAACTCACAGAAATCTACTTGCCTCTCCCCCCAGAGTGCTGAGATTAAAGGTATGCACCACCACTGCCCAGCAGTCTTTAAATGTATTTATTTCCTAGGTAAGGGTATCTTCCATGTATGTATGTATGCATACCACGTGTGTGTGCTGGGTGCCCAGGGAAGCAGGAAGAGGGAACTGGATCCCCTGGACTGGAGTTGTTGACAGCTGTTTATAGGTATCTTGTAGGTGCTGGGAATGAACCTACATTCTCTGGAGATCAGACAATGCACTTTACTGCTGAGCCATCTCTTCAACCGTACCGTATGTTTTTGAGATAGGATGTGGTAGCTTGAATGAGATATCTGCCATAGTTTGAGGCATTGCAATACTTGATCCCTAGTTTGTGCTATTGCTTGGAAAGGCTAGGGAGGTGCAGCCTTGCTGAAGGAATTATGTCACTGGAGACAAGCTTTGAGAGTTTAAAGACCTGCACCATTTTGACTTCTCTGTCTCTGCTTCACTCTTGCAGTTCAAGATGTTCAACTTCTCAGCTGCTGCCCCAGCTACCATGCGTGCTGCCTGCCACCTCCACTCGATCATGGAACTGTAAGCTCAAATAAACTCCGTCTTCTATACGTTGCCTTGGCCACATTTTCTCACAGTAACAGAAAAGTGACTGATGCACAGGGTTTCTCTTTGAACCTGGAGCTGGTCTCTACCCACCAGTGCTGCACTGTGCCATCATGCCCAGATTTTATAGATGTACTTGGGAGCTGAACTCGATGCAAGCACTTTGCACATTGAACTATCTCCCCCATCCCTCCCATGGCTCTTGGTGATATTGTTCTAAAGTGGGATTCAAATAAATTTATGTCCTTTTGTAAAGGTAGTGTTTGAAGCCTATGAAAGAGTCCAAGAATGGCCACTCTCAAACATGGTGCTTTATTATGCTTACTATATCAAATGAGAGTAGAAGATACTAGGACTGTATATCTTAGTCTGCTGATAAAGCTCAGACCTGCTGAGGAATATAATAATTGTCCCTATTATCTTTCTTGAGTTTTCTTTTCTTTTTTTCCCCCCTTGGAGACAGGGCTTCTCTGTGTGGCCCCAGCTGTCCTGGAACTTACTCTGTAGACCAGACTGGCCCTGAACTCAGAAAGCATGCACCGCTATTCCTGGCTTTTCCTTAGGTTTTCATTAAACTGCTTGTATCACAGGGAGAAAAACTGGAAACTATATATACTTAGATACCCCTTTGTCCTAAATCATTGCCTTATCCTGGTTTCATCTAATATTCCATAAAAATAGTAAACAAGCAGTTGTCTGTCTAGGGCAGTGATTCTCAACCTTCCTAATGCTGCGTGTGAACCCTTTCATACAGTTCCTCGTGTTGCAGTGATTCCTAACCACAAAATTATTTCCATTGCTACTTCATAGCTATAGTTTCGCTACTATTGTGAATCTCAATGTAAATGTTTTTGAAAATAGAGGTTTGCCAAAGGGCTTGTCACCCATGGTAGTTTGGGTACCACTGGTATAGGCTCACCAGAAAGTCCTAGCCCATTCTATGTTTCTCTTTAAGTTTATTGAATTCTTAAAAAAAAAATGACTTTACTACTCCCACCTAAAGTGTAAACATCCCCCACTTTCCTGCTCTCCTATGGAAAGTGGAGTTATATGTAAGCTTCTAAATTAAGTTAGGCTCATGGACAGTTACCTTTAATTTGCAAGCTTTTTCTCTTTTTCAATCTGTCACTTCCTACTTATGAGCTTTCATATAAGACAGATTGAGTGATGAGTCAGATTCATTTTCTGTGTTAAACTAGTTTATGCTTCTTACTCTTCAGTCTAATGCTTCCAGCTAGTTAGAATTTCCTGTTTGTTGCTTTCCACTAACCTCCCTATTGTGACTGGGAGCATCCTTAGGCTTTTGCTTTCCGCCATCGTGTTCCTAATCAGTTTTCTTGAGGATGTCTTTCTGGTATCTGTCTTGCTTTATCCCGGGCCTCACTGCATGCTCTGCCTTACTGCTCTGGAGCTGAAGCTGAGGCTTACTTTTCGCAGAGTGATACATCTTTGTAGGGTGTTTGACAGGGAGTCATAGCCTCTGGTTTCCTAAATAACTTTATTACCCTCGGGTGGTTTTTGTGCTGTGTCTCAGGGGTCTTGTTCCATGCAACTGTCTTCACTCATTTGTGCTTTGTGACGTTCTTTAAACTTAGCAGAGAGTGTGCCTCAACTGCTTGATTTATTATATCTTCGTCTTGGAAATGATGTCCTTGGATCTTGTGGTAGTTTCCTACTCCCTACTCCTGCCCCCTGCTCCCTCCCCTAATTTTACACTCAGTATTTATTTCTACCTTTTCCCCCAGAGTTGTTTTTTTAACCCCTTCTTGTCCATTCACCACGGTCAGATGACTTTCACACCTGGGCAGAGGCTGTAATATTTGTTGCCCTTCTTGTATGGAATAAGGATTTTGTTCTGTATGAGAGGAAGATCTGGGTAGGGTTTCTTTTTCTTTCTTTCTTTCTTTCTTTTCTTTCTTTTTTCTTTTTTTTCTTTTTCTTTTTTTTTTTTTTTTTTGGTTTTTCGAGACAGGGTTTCTCTGTATAGTCCTGGCTGTCCTGGAACTCACTCTGTAGGCCAGGCTGGCCTTGAACTCAGAAATCTGCCTGCCTCTGCCTCCCAAGTGCTGGGATTAAAGGCGTGTGCCACCACCGCCCGGCTCTGGGTAGGGTTTCTTTGTGTGTGTGTGTGTGTGTGTGTGTGTGTGTCTGTGTCTGTGTGTCTGTGTGTCTGTGTGTCTGTGTGTCTGTGTGTCTGTGTGTATTTTTTCCAAGTCTCCCCACACTGCTTATGCCCAAAGTGTGTGGTCCGTGAATCATTTCTCAGTGCTCTACTCAGCCTTCTGTGTGCCCTGAACACATAAATGAAGAAAACCCCAGAAGAGTGAGCAAAGCCCCTCAATTTTTATGCTTCTTATTCTTGTGCTTGTTAACATATGTCCCAGTCACTTCTCTTGATCTCTGAAGTGAAGAATCAGTCAGATCCCCTGGAACTGAAAATTATAGATGGTTGTGGGCTGTCATGTGGGTGCTGGGAATGAAGCCAGGTTCTCTGCAACAGCAGCCAGTGCTCTTAACCACTGATCCATCTCCCCAATCCCCAGCTATCAATCTACCCTTTACAGTCTCTACTTTTTTTCTCCCTTGTGATAGGGTCTTATGTAGTCCAGAATGGCCTGAACTCCAGCTCTTGCTGCCGCCACCTCCCAAATGCTTCCTGTACTATAAGATGGTAATGCTGACCTTGTAGTTTGCCTTGGCAAAGTCTAACTTTAACCATTACTCTGAGGAGCCTGGATATTTCCTGTTGAAAAATGGACCTAGAAAGTAGAGTGTGAGTTTTGAGTGTCCTTTAACTGGTGACATCATTGCTTCTGGATTAAGTAGTGACCTAGAAAATACATGTGTATAGTATTAGTTATCTCAGAATGTAGCTATCTGTGTTATTTATGAAAGTAAACATGAATACACAGAGGGTTCTGTGATGGAGGTAGTATTTGTTTTTTTAAACTTTCCTCTGACAATAGGAAAACTGGTCCTGGATTGTCTGTTCACTTCTGCTTTTAACTCTGTGTGTAAAGTGGTCTCTTGGCTGCAGATGTACCCAGAGAAGTCCAGATTTATCATCTAGAATTACTACTGTTCCTGCAAAGCCATTTCTAAACAACGCAGAAGTTTTCCTTTATCTTTCTTCATAGATGCCATATAAAGTTTCTTTTGTACCTTTAAATCCAGTATTCATCGGAATGAATATTTGTATAATGAATGAAAGTGTTTCGTTTTGTTCTGTTTTGAAATCTGGTCAATAGTTTCACCACCTTTTGTTGAAAGATCACCGTTCGCCAGTTGTATGATAAATAAATTCTCAAATTGTGTTTGGAGATGCTGCCTGTAATCCTAGAAGGAGATAGAGGCTTGATGACCAGAAGTTCAAGGTCATAAGCATCTACGTATGGATTTCAAGGCCAGCTTGAGTACATGATACCATGTGTCAAGAGAGAGTGTCAGGGAGGATAGAAAGAGGAGAAAGACCTTTCTGCTCTGCCGAGCGGTTCTCCTGTACAGGAGGCAGCCATGGCGCTCAGGCAGAATGGCATGATCCTGAGGCCCCACTTCCACAAGGACTGGCAGCAGCGAGTAGACACTTGCTTCAACCAAGTTACACAAGATCTGCAGACACAAGGCCCGGCAAGCGAAAGCGCGCCACATTGGCCCTCGTCCTGCGTCTGGTCCTATCAGGCCCATCGTGAGGTGCCCTACAGCTAGATACCACACCAAGGTGCGGGCTGACAGGGGCTTCAGCCTGGAGGAACTCAGAAAATGGCTCGCACCATCGGCATCTCTGTGGACCCAAGGAAGCGAAACAAATCCACGGAATCACTGCAGGGCACCGTGCGGCGTCTGAAGGAGTACCGCTCCAAGGAAGCCTTCTGCTCCAAAGAAGGGAGACTGTTCTGCTGAAGAACTTAAATTGGCCACCCAGCTGACAGGACCTGTGATGCCCATCTGGAATGTGTACAAAAAGGAAAAGGCCAGAATCATCACAGGAGAGAAGGACTTTAAAGGCTTTTGCCAGTCTCCGTATGGCCCGTGCCAATGCCCGGCTCTTTGGTATCCGAGCAAAAAGGGCGAAGGAAGCTGCAGAGCAAGATGTTGAGAAGAAAACGTAATGCGTGGTTGAAAAGTTGTAATAAATTTTCCATAAAGAAAAAAAAAAGAAGAAAGGAAAGAAAGAGGAGGAAGAGAGAGAAGAAAGAAAAACAGATTTTCATTGGTCAACTTCTTAGCTTTTATTTTTTTCAATTTTCCATGGTGTGTGCTTTCAGGAGTCTGTCTCATCGCTCACCTTGTTTTGATGGAGGACCTCCAACTAGCCAGCTCCCCTATAGTACACCTATTCTAGTTTGCAGAAAAGCAGACAGCTCATGCCTCTTAATTCAAGATCTTAGGTCCAGGCCAGGGAGTTGGGTCACTGGATAAAAGTATTTGCAGTGCTAATCTGACAGCCTGAATTTGGTTCCTGGAACCAGGAAAAAAAAAAAAGCTGTGCACAATGACACACATCTATAACCCCAGTACTGCTACAGTGAGATTGAGGGGTCTGCAGGCCAGCTAACCCAGAGTAGGCCGCACAGTGGCAGATCTGATCCTGAAGGTTGCTGTATCCCAACTCTCTCACGCACTCCAGGATCACACTTCAACACTTGATGAGGACACACTTACCTAGCTCCCTTTCAGTCTGATAGAATGATCTAAACCCCCCAGATCAGGACCCTTTCAGTTACATTTTCTCTCCCTTAGCCTCACCATCTGTATGTTCAAAGAAGAGTTCTTCCCCTTGACCTGTGTCCCCTCATCAACTAGACTGGAACTTTCACCTGATATACTTATGCCCTTCCCCAACACAAATGTTGCTCCCAAGAACCAGAGCTTTGAATGGCTGCATGTGGGGCAGAAGATGTGTGATTAATTCTTACCTTTTCCTCATAATCCTGGGGTTAATGACAGATGCTGGCAAAGGAATTAGGAGGTCCAACAATGTACTGTGTACACTACTATTCCTTATCCCAGGACATACAGGAAATCCTTGATGAAATTTCTCAGTGTTTAACAAGGATCTAGGATTGGACCTGGGGAGTTGGCTCAGAGGTTAAGGGCACTTGGTGTTCTCCCAGAGAATCTTGGTTCTCAGCATCAGCAATTGCCTGTAACTCCAATGCAGTACGTTCTTGGGGATCCGACTCCCTCTTCTGACTTGTGCAGGCACCAGGCACTCATGTGGTACATATACATGCATGCAGGCAGAACACTCATGTGCGTAAAGTAAGTATTTAAAAATGAAAACAAAAAATGGGTCGGGTATCACTCCAAAACAGAAGAGGCCTAAATCTCTTGGCAAGAGAAAAGGGGAAAAGCAGTGGAGCTTTTCTGTACGTCATTCAGGCTAGGTCAGGCTGTAGCAACAAAGCTGACCATATTTCAAAAACTGGAAGTAGTTATCAAATTCAGGAACAAATGGTTTCAGCACTCATCTTGAATCGACCGGCTTATGCCAGCTGTCACCGTTTTTATAACCATTTTGATTTTTTATATCCATAGGTCCTTTTCTACTCCATCTGCTATCCAGATTTGCCTAAACCACCATCCAACCAACAAGGACTAGCCCTCTGATGTGTGAATTCAGATACCAGCCTATGATTCAGAGACTGCCACCTGATAAAGACATCATAATTCATCAGGCTGTGGCCAGAATGATCTCAGTGCCGTCTAGCCCCCTACCACCACCTTTTCTATAAAATGTGTCCCTCTGTTCCCTTTACCTAAATGAAGAAGCTGAAAACAAAAAAGGCTGAATTGAAAACCTTATGTCGCATAAGTGAGGAGTGTGTCCATCTCAGAAATGGGCCTTTCAGGGAGCAAAGCCCTAAACACAGAAAGCTACCGGCAAGGACACATTCCGCTTCGCATGCACTCAGGGCCTAGAAGCCGCTGGGCAGTGGTACATCAAAGAAGTCATGTGCTCACTAGACACATTCTCCTGCAGAATTTTCCAATTGTCCCTTTATCTCAAAATGTATTTGGGACTTTTTAAGCATCCGCCCCAGCCCAAACTATTAAGTTTAAAGCACCTTTTAATCCAATTTTGTAATGTCAACCAACTTGGGGCGTTCTTGAGGTACACTTCCCCCTCATTATGGGACCGTAACCTTTTGATTTTGTGGGTGGTCTAAAGCATTACCTCAGACTATGTGCCATTGGCTCAAATAAACCTTTGGTCTGAAGGACATTCTGACTCGGTGAGTCCTTTGACACCCCCCCACCCCACTCCAGTAATGGGGTACCTGAGCAAGTTTGTTGAAATAAAACAAGATAGTTTGCTGCGCCAGTTGACTCTGCACCTGTCGATTTCTCCATAGTGCTATGATTGAACTTGAATTGCAGTTAGTGCTTTCAAGCACTTCTGCTGTGCCACCAAGTGAATGTAATATTTTTAAATTTTCCGTGATATAAGCAATGTTTACAGCATCTTCAAATGTTTAAAAGCCATCTTTTTCTTATAAGAAAGCAAACTCATCTATTAATTTTTTCTTTGTTTGGTTCTCTCTGTGTGTATTTGTGTGTATGTGTGTGTATGTGTGTGTGTGTGTATGTGTGTGTGTGTGTAGTGTGTGTGTGTATGTGTGTGTGTATAGTGTGTGTATGTGTGTGTGTATAGTGTGTGTGTATAGTGTGTGTGTATGTGTGTGTGTATAGTGTGTATGTGTGTGTGTATATGTGTGTGTATAGTGTGTGTGTATGTGTGTGTGTATAGTGTGTGTATGTGTGTGTGTGTATAGTGTGTGTGTATATGTGTGTGTGTATAGTGTGTGTGTATGTGTGTGTGTGTATAGTGTGTGTGTATATGTGTGTGTTTATGTGTGTGTGTATAGTGTGTGTGTGTATGTGTGTGTATGTGTATAGTGTGTGTGTATGTGTGTGTATAGTGTGTGTATGTGTGTGTATAGTGTATGTGTATAGTGTGTGTATAGTGTGTGTGTATAGTGTGTGTGTGTGTATGTGTGTGTGTGTGTGTCAGTGTGTGTGTGCCTATGCTTTCAGAAGGTGGAAAAAGGTGTCAGATCACCTGGAACTGTAGTTCCAGGCAGTTGTTAGCTGCTACATGGGAGCTGGGAACCTAACCTGGGTCCTTTTCTTGAACAGCCAGTGCTCTTACCTGCTGAGCCATCCCTCCAACACCAACAATTCACTAACAGCTTTAGACTTCCTTTCCCAACTCTACTTTTGATATTTTCACTACATCTGAGTTTATTTCCTCTACCAAAATCTTGACCCATCCCCAAGATCACCCATCAAGGTTTGAATCAACTTCCTTCAAACTCCTGTTAATTTTATTTATTTTTTTTTCTGGGCAAAGGTTGATGGAACACACTATGCAAGCTCTATCACTACACTAGTGCTGTAAAGCCCCCATGTTGCTATTTCACTCACTCCTATCATGGATCACAAGTGAAATCCATAATAAATATTGTTGTTGTTTGTGACTCAATGGCAGCGTGCTTTTACCAAGATGAATGAGGTCTTAGGTTCAATCCCCAGGAGGGGCAAAAGGAGAAAAAAGAGAAATGTAATTCATAATTAAACTTGATAATTTAAATTATTCCTTCATTGAAGCATCGGCCGGCAAATGGCTACTGTGTTATTAGGTGGCATGAAAACATCAATCTCATAGCTTTTGGGTGAGCAGATGCAGATCTGATTGTCAGGCTTGTACTGCAGGCATCTTTACTCACGGAGTCATCTTACTGGTTCCTGTGTAGACTTTCTAACCGTGTCTTTCTGAACTCCTTTGTTTTATGACCAGTCTTCATAATAATACTGTTTTGTCTGAAATACGCCTTATCTGCCAAAAGGACCAGGAACAGGAAGAAATTTAAAGAATAATTGAGGAACAAATGATTTTTAACAATTTTATTCAGACTATACAATTGAAATCTTGCTCTGCCTTCCGAGTGCTGGGATTAAATTACCCCACCATGCCTGGCTGCAGTAATTTTTTAATATTGAAGTTTTTGGTTTTTTTTTTTTTTAAGGTTTTTCGAGACAGGGTTTTTCTGTGTAGTCCTGGCTGTCCTGGAACTCACTCTGTAGACCAGGCTGGCCTCGAACTCAGAAACCCTCCTGCCTCTGCCTCCCAAGTGCTGGACTTAAAGGCATGTACCACCACTGCCCGGCGGATCAAATTATTTTTAATAATTTGATTCACACTATACAACTGAAAAGAGACAAAGTTTCTCTGTCTAGTCCTGGTTGTTGTGGAACTCACTCTTTAGACCAGGTTGGCCTCGAATATAACTAGTTTAAGGTGATAATTACAAAGGCTTTACTGTTTGTATGCAAAGCAAATAAGTTCCTTCTGAATTCTTTGTGGTATATCTTATCATAAAAGTTTTTATTTTTAAACTTATATATTTAAATATATCTTTAAGAACTTCAATATTGCCGGGCGGTGGTGGCGCACGCCTTTAAGTCCAGCACCCAGGAGGCAGAGGCAGGCGGATTTCTGAGTTCGAGGCCAGCCTGGTCTACAGAGTGCGTTCCAGGACAGCCAGGGCTACACAATGAAACCCTGTCTCGAAACCCCCCCCAAAAAAATCATTTGATCCTCAATTATTCTTTAAGTTTTCTCCCGTTTCTGTTATTATTATAAACTAATAAGAAAAATAGGTAATTAGGCAAAAAGATGACTACATAAAAGTCAGTGAACAAAAAGGATACTAAAGAAAGGCAAGATGTCACTACATGGTAGGTATGTGGTAGGTAGCATCTTCTCATCTCTTGGAGTGGGATAAATTCAGTACACAGCAGAAGTAGTGATAGGAAAAGGCCTTTTTTTTTGTGGTGCCAGTGTGGCTGTGAATTATCCTTTTCTTTTTGGATAGATGTCTTGGCTTCCCGCAGGCAGCTCTTCCTCCTTAAAGTCCCCTTTGTATTTGTTTGGCCACATTTCTTGCCTTGGCTTCAGTGTAGTAGCTTTGATTTCTTTGTTTTTGGTACCCAAGGAATGTCTTTTCTACTCTTTGATGTTTCTTACAGATTATTAATGTGTTTTCCTTTATACAATATTTCTACTTTGAGTTGCTTTGCTTAGGCAACTGCTAAGTTTATTATTTTTTGTTTTAGCATACAACTTGTTTCCAAGTATTAAGGAAGTAAATACAATTACATGTAAAATAAAATAAATAAAATAACTCATGGAATTAGCATACATTAGCTCTTTTCCTTGTTGCTGTTTCTGGTTGTGTTAATGGTGGTGGCGCCGGCGCGCCAGCAGCTGTGGTGGTGGTGGTGCTGTTGTTTGAGACAGGGTTTTGTGTATTCCTGGGTGGCTTTAAATTTGAGCACCCAGAATTTCTACGGTCTTGACTTCACCTTCCAGGCATAAACTGCCACAGCCTTGTAAACTGATTTAATATCACAAGCAGAATATTCACATTATTACATGTATAACAACATAATAAATACATTTTGCTGCCTCCCTATTCATGAAGTCGCTTGGAAATTACTATTTTTTAATTAGCAAACAAAGCAGTGGGTTTCATTACAGCATTTGCATCTATATATGCATCAAACTCACAAAAATCAGCCTGCCTCTGTTTCCTTAGTGCTGGGATTATACGCATATGCCTGGCTTGATAATTCTACTTTGAATTGTTTCAAGACTCTCCATACCAACTTCCAGAGTCACTGTACCATTAAAATAAATGTTTCCCTTTCCCCACATCATTGTTGGCTCCCCTTCCCCCACAATCTCAAACCCAACTTGCATTTCCCTGATGGCTTAGGATAATGGACGAATTTTCAGACATTGGCCATTTGTGTGTGTGTTCAGTTTCATTTACTGGCTAGATAATTTGTGGGGTTTTGAAGGGTTTAATTTGTTTATAAAGAACCCGTCGATGTTAATTCTCTGTCTAATGTACAGTTGGCAAAGACTTTTTTTTAAAACCCATTTTGTGGACTGTCCCATCATTTCCGTGACAATATTCTTTAAATGTTATAGATTTCATTCTATGTTATTTAATTTATTATTATTACTATTGTTGTTGTTGTTGTTATTGATGTGTTTATAAAGATAAAGGGGATATGTTCTATGGTATAGGGGAAGGGGGTGTCTCAGTGGACCCATCCTTTCCCCCTGAGGGACTCAGTCACAGGACAGTGTAGTATAAAGTTTATTCAGGGCATGGGGAGGGGAGTTAAGAGGGTAATAGAGATAGAGAAAGGCAGAGAGAGAGAGAGAGAGAGGAGTAGAGGCCAGCCATGAGCACGTGGAGAGAAGGTGGGGAAGGGAATGGGGAGAGAGGGGAACAGAGCAGGAACAAGAAGGAAAAAGGGAGAGAAGAAAAAGAAAGCAAGAGAGAGAGGAGGGAGTATGGTGGGTCAGACCTACCTGGCTGTTGCCAGGTAACTGTGGGGAGGGGCATACCTGGCTGTTGCCAGGTAACTCTGGGCTGGAGTTTAGACCGAATGCCAACAGTTATTATTAGTATTTGTGTGCGTTGCTGTGCCGTGTGTATGGTGTCAGTTCTCTCCTTCCACTTTTATATGTGTTCAAGGGTGGCATACACGTTTACCTGCAGAGCTGTCTCTCCAGGCCTTTCATGTTATTCTTATCCTAATGTCACAGGTCTTAGAATACACTGTTTTCATCGATTACAAGTTGCAAACAAAGGCCATGTGTAAAGGAATAGCATCAGGGATGCCACTGTATTGATGCTGCCTTTCCATTATGGTGCTCATTACACAAGTCTATGCATGTGATAACATGCAATGTTAATACGGCTTGGGTATTGTGTTTTATTTATGGCAAATGCGATTCCTTGGGTGGTGTGTGCAAAATGGCTATTTTGTCTTTGTCTCATACTAGTAATTTTCTAGCACAATATGTAAAAATATAAATCATCAAGGTAAAAGAAAGTGGTCTGAAGAAATAGATGGCTCAGTGGTTAAGAGCAGAGGTCCCAGGTTCACCCACATGGCAGTCTGTAACTTCTGTGTCCTGATAGGACACCCTCATACAGATGTATGCACTCAAAACACCAATGTACATAAAATAAAAATAAGTAAGTAATTAAAAACAATCTGAACATAGGAAAGTAACAGTTTGCAAATGATAGGAAACATGAAAACCGATCTGAACAATTAAAAGAGAAGATTAGTAGGGGTTGGGAGTTTAGCTCAGCAGCAGAAAGCTTGCTAGCAAGGCCTTCTGTCCTCAGATCTGGGGGTGGCAGTGGGAGGGTGATAGGGTGGTGGGGGCAGTGAGGGGGCGGTGGGATGCAGTTGGGGGCTGGTAGGAGGCAGTAGGGGGCAGTGAGAGGCAGG